GCTGTCTAGGCTCAATCACTATACCGCCAAGGGCTCCTGGAACAATGTTTATCACTTTTCAAAGACCAGGCTCTTCCTTCAAACACATTGATACATGCGCACAATGCTTTGCTTGGCTAAATCTGGGGCTAGAACTCTTGTCTGCCCTCCAGGGTCTCGGCCTACCTCTGCATTAGAACACCTGGGGGCGTTGACACCGATCCAAAGCCTGGCTGTAGCCCAGTGCGCACTAGTGTCCCTAGGACCCGGACTTCAGTGGTTTCCAAAGCCTACCACCTTGATCCCAATATGCAGTTGAGCAGAGGAGCTGTACCCATATCCCTGCAGACTTTGGGACCAGGCATGCATCGTGTACAGGGGCCAGGTTCTGCTCTCGATTGCTCCCCCACGGTAGAGGTTGCGTCAGCTGGCCACTGGACCAGAGTGGGAGCTCCATCTCGCAAAGGGCTCACCAGCAAGAAGAGGGAGAAATTGTCATGGGGAGAAAACACAAAGGTGTTGCTAATGACCCTTCCATATTGTCCACCCTACTGGTCATTGAAATGCCAGTGGCATAACTTCCGGCATCCCAGCTTTCATTTACTGAATTGAACATGGGCTTCTCCCACAAAGAAGCCTATTTCTCAACTTCTCAACTTCCCTTTCCTCATTCCGACAGCCCTGGAGATGGTGTGAGGCAACCTTTTAACCTCATGTGGAAACCACATGTCTGCAGACAAGTCACAGAACAGACCAGCTGCGAGGACTCTGGGGCCGAATTCTAACTTACTAGCTGTGTAACTGAACCTCTCTGTTTCCTCATCTGTAAAATGGGGTGATAGTAAGTGTTCACCTCACTGGGATGTGGTCAAGATTAGGTTGTTGTTGTTATTGTTGTGTGCCATGGAGCTGATTTCAACTCATAGGGACCCCGTATGGGGTTTCCGAGGCTATATATCTTTACCTGAGCAGAAAGCCTCAACTTTCTTCCACAAAAACATTATATATACGCAATGTATATACATATATATATAAATATATATATATATATGATGTACAAAAAGAACATATCAAGG